AATTTGAATTTTGCCATAAAACAATTATCTGTCTGAAATCTGTACTGTTAGAAAGTCAATGCCCTGCGTGTAATAATTATGTGGCGTTCTTGTGAACATTTTTCTATATTGGATTCTAAATGCTAATTAAGACACGTGAAGGTGTTATAAATTTTAATTTATTATTTAAATGTAAAAATTTGTCATGTACCGTCTCTAAGTTTACTTACAATTAGAGAATTAAATTAGTTTCATATTAAAGAGATAGATACAAATAATAGAATATATGAATCTACCAATTCTCGCAAATTAATGAGCACAATCCATGCCAAAATTCTAATATATATATATATATATATACTGTTATAAAATTGATTTAAGGGAATTCCTCAAACTCAAATAAGAAAAGAAATTGGCAAAAATAAATAAAGGGAGGGTCGAAAGTACATGAAATAAATGAAAGACCCGTGATTTCTCATATTCAAACTTAAAATATAAGTCCAAGTTACAAAAATTAATTTTTTTGTTGGTTTAAGTAAAAGTAATATCGAATTGAGTTATCAAACTCGAGTGATGCGAATGAAAATAACGTGAATGAGAACACAAATACCATAAAAGATGACTACTTGTCTAGTTAAACATTCTCTTATTTACAAACAAGTTGTTAGTTCAATCTCCTTAAATAATATTTCAAATACAAGTTTTATGCAAGAAAAATAATATTATATGAAAAATGTCATTAAAGTTGATTAGTTAAATTTTCTAACTGTATTTATTTGTTGTCAAAATTGATGGATAATTTGTACAAATATATTTTTATTTTTTATAAAGGAAGATTATTAATTTAAGGATTTAATTTAAATAGATTGATTATATATCAATATTTGCACGGTAAACTTATTAATTTTTATAATAATTATTTTAAAAATTATATTTAAGAGATTAAAATAATTTATAATTAGTTGATAATATGAAATTATTTACGTTAATTATACATTACAATTAATCTTTTCGATCTAAATTGGCAAAAAGTATTGCCAAGCAAATAATCTATCAAAGTACTCACAAAATTTGAAGGCGCAATTTTTGTTTATATTTTATGTATGTTTGATTTCTGTTGAAAATCTTCAAATTTACATTTAACAGAAAAAACAAATTTTCTTGATTCTCAGTGTTTTAAAATATGTAAATTTCTGTTTAAATCATTGCAAATAAATTTCTAAGCATATCATTACTTGTATATTAAAAAATGCACTCTATAATTAAAAGGTCTATAAATAGGTAAGTATAGTGTTGATTTTGGCGTATTAGGAAGGGATAAGAACAGTTGTTGGATTTCTAAGCCTTAGTTGGATTTGCTGCTAACATTAACACTATAGTTGTTAAAGGAAAGTAAAAATGAAAGAAGATAAAAAAAAAAATAAAAGAAAATAAATATAAAAATAAGATATATTTTTTTAAATGATTGGCATACAAAAATAACAAATATTTTCATTTTTCTTGTTTGATTGAGAAAAAATAAAAATTTATATTTATAAAATGACACAAATACTTTTATGTAAAAATGACGGGTAACAGAACAAATAAAATATAAATATAAAGAAAGTATTTTTTTAGATTAATAATATTATTTTATTGAATTTTGTTAACTTATATTCACACGTTTTCTTTAAGGAGAAAATTAGCAAACTATACTTAAGTATATTTTAGAAAGTTTTGTAGTTATAACTTTTAATATACTTATCTTAAAAAATAAGTGAGTGTATGTTAACAAATTCTATAAACATTTGTTAACTTCCATTTATTTGTTTTTTAAGATGAATAAGTTAGTAAATTACACACACATA